CCCTAGCAGAAGAAAAAGAGAGATAACATTTGTTCCAGAAATATTACTAAATTTTCCACAACTATTACTAAATTTTCACAAAGTTTTTAGTGGGCATATGGAAAGTGTTTGGGCATATAATTTTATATAATATTCCATATTTGTTTCCAGTAGCCAGCTTTAAAAAAAAAAAAAAAAAAAAAACCAAACCAAAAAACCCAAACTTTTATATGCCATGGACTGAAATACGCAAAAGCTAAAAAAGAAACAGCAGTAATTTTTTGACCATAGAACATTCCCACAGAAAAAATGTGCATACATGCTGTTTTTACTGTAATAATCTTACTGTTTAACTTGGGAGCACTGCACATGCAAATTAGCCATATTTTGCAGAGAGTACATTTTTATTATCAAATAACACTTATTAGAAATCTATAATTTGTCCCCCTCATTTAAAACCTAATAACAGAGCATGTTTTGACCTTAGCTGACTGAATATATGGAATCACGGTGGTTCAGTAATGAGGACAACTTTGCACTCTCTAACGCCACCCGCAGAATTCACCACATCTGGTAGGGGAGCACCTGCAATGTACTCACCAGTGAGGCCATGGTGAACCCAATGACTTCAATGTAGCCATCATCATGGCGCTGAGGCTCAAAGTCTCTGTGATCTCCAGGGTTTCCCCAGGGCATTGTGCCAGCACAATACCTATAGAAAGAGGTTTGGAAAGCAAGCTTTGAGAAAGCAGTTTGCCCTGATGGTTCCTGACTAGTAGCCTGACTACTAGCCTGTTCTGCTGTCCTCCAGAAGTACCCAGATATCCATTCCAGGATTCAATTCAGGGACAATTAAAAGTTATGCTGGCAAGGACTGGACAAAAGGGAAAATCTGTCTCTTGTTTCCAAGCTGGTCCACCATCCATAAATGTATCCATCATAATCTTTAGCAGGTTCCTTTGTGAGAGGAAAATGGGGAAACACCAGGAAATAGATAACAGAGCAGCAGCACTTTGTTCTCCCCACTTGCTTTGCTTTCTGCAGATGAGCTGTTGAGCCAGAAAGCTGCTTAGCCCCTTTGCTAGGCAGGCATGGGGCTGCAGCAGACACTCCAGCATTGGAGCTCCATTTCCTCTCTTCCCTGCTGGCTCAGAAGCTCTAACAGCATAAGGAATGCAAAACGTTTCGCAGCTTGAGGAGGCAGGGAGAAATAAGAAGCAGGAACAGATGCAGCTGTGGCATCTATCTTTCCCACCATTAAAGACTGGATGTAAAAGTGATCCAAGAGTGATAGAAGGGGGAACTCTGGAGAGGTGACACCAAGTAGAAGCTCACAGCAAGGGCAGTGCAGGACTCTAAAGATCAAGTGCTTGGGACTGCATGTGGAGCAAAGTGGGTAGGCTGTCTAAAGCAGAGATCTCCACAGTGGGGTGCGTGCATCACAGGGAGTGTGCAAGGAAAATCCGCAATTGACAAGACACTTAGGGTGTGTGAAGAAAATATTTTTGTACTTTTAAAAAATAAATTAAAAAACCCATTAAAATAGTGTTTGTTTCATCTTTATCACATCTTTTCTTAATTTCTATTTTTCTGTGTGTTTTATAATGTATGCAATGTATTAGTACAGTAGTAGTACATGTATATAATTTATAAATATGCATATATTGGGGTGATTTTTTTTTTTTTAATTGATAGGGATGCACAATCAAAAAAAGTTTGAAGACTACTATTCTAGAGAGCAGGACATAAACAACTTTTAAGAATACAGCTGGATTTCTATTTGGGACACCTTCTAACATATTAAAAACCAGCACTTCTTTCAACTTTTGGTGTTCCTTTACTGGAAAAATATTGATCCTTTTCCCCTCTCCCTTTTTTTCCCCACACTCTGCTTCTAAATAAGTGAAAGACTAGGCATCTGTTTCTTTACTATCTCGTTTGCAGCTTAGGTGCACAACTTTTGAAAGCGTGTTTGATAATCATTTCTACTATCTCTGTATCAGGATACTCAATATTTTAAAAGATAGTTTAGCTGCACCCTGAACTCTGATCCCATTCCATATTGCTAATTATTATAAGCACCTAGCTCCCAAGAAGGCAACACAGTGGCAATACTCTTCCTGCACATCCACCCAGTCTAGGACAACTTGTAGGGTTTTGGTTGGGTTTGGGTTTTTTTTCTTTTATTACTCCAAGCATCTGTCTTGAGCTTACCTGGGTATGTTTAAAAACACTATACACTGGAACTTCAGCTCCTGGATCTTTGGAGTCAGGTCTGTACCATCACACTACAAAGCCAAAGTGACAGAGCACAGAGAAATTGCTGAATGGAGCCACAGACAAGAGAAGTGTTGCTGCTTTGTAACAACTTTCCCAAGACTTTCCTTGGAATGTGTTGCAAATGTCATGCTCAAAACTGAAAAGTAACAGAGCCATTAAACTCTCACCTTACTCTCTCTCCATTCCCCCCTCTTCCCACAATACTTATTTCTTACACAATTTCTTATACTTACCACAACTTTAACATGCTTGGATAAATCTCTTGAGCTTCTTTGCAGAAAGTCTGTAAAGGCTGCCTGCAACAGAAATAAGTGCAGGAAGTCATCAGTGCTTCTTCTCTTCTCTTTTCTCATTTCTTATCTCAACACAGAGCTAATTACCAAAACACCATCCTTTTGTCAAACCTATTCTTTTTTGCTCTCGGAAGATATGATTTATTTTTTTTTTTTAAATCACGATACTTCTCCTTTTTTGAGGTTAAGCAAAGAAGGTCCTTGGGCACCCAAAGATTTAAATACAAATTCTTGCTTGCATATTTGTTCCCGTGTTTAAGGCACACAGGTACAGTGGGAGTCATCATCCAGAATGTCACACATTACCGATTTAGTATTTCCCTCTTAATGACTGCATTTTAGAATAAAAGATTATCCATGTACCTCCAGAATGCAGAATGCAGAATTGGGTAATGAAAATGAATCACTCCAAATAGTTGATCTCTGCCCCCACTCCCTGTGACCCTATATCCAAGACTACTCCTCAAAGCTGCAAAGATACAGGTTAACACTTGGGGAATATCTCTGGGAAAGTCAAAATTAATGTGCTGCCCAAACCCTGAAAGAAGCAGAGCAATTTGTTGAGAAGCCTGTGAGCCAGAAGCAGGGGGAGCAAGACATCACCAGTTCTATGTCTAAAGGAGTATCATTTCTCTCGCCTGCTAAGCACTGCAAAACAACAGTGCCTCGGGCACTTTCCAAGAGACACCTGTGTGTGGCATTACCAGAAATAGTGCATGTGCACTTTAAATTGCAACAGGCAAAATGAACTGGCACGAGCTCCTGATGTGAGAAAGTGAGGGGGAAGGTATTTAAGAAAACATTAAAACATCTAAGTTTGCATCATTCTGTAAGATGAATCACAACTCACCCCTGCATAAAACATTTTATTTCTAAATCGGCTGTTGAATTTCTCTGGATTTGCTTCTGTGAAAGGATAAAAAAGAAAATTATGAACACCTGAATAAAACAAGTAGACTCCATTGTACTTTCACATTCCCTGCTAGCACTATAGTGCTTTTAGCACACATCACTCAGTGAAAATGTTAACGTAAATACAGTTTTCCTGTGTGAGTGCCCCATCTGTGCCATTATCTGCTGTGAGATTTCAAACATTGATATTGAATTCTTCCCCTTTCCTGTAGAGTGAAAATAGATGGAAACATGAGCAAAGAGGTAACAAGAATACAATCAGTTAATTTAGCACCTCTCAGACTATTTATCTTATGATCCCTCAGTACCATTTGTGAGACTCCTATTTCTACCAACGCAGAACAGACCTCTAAGAATTATTAGAAATCCATGAAATACTAACTCATGCGTTGAAGCAGTAGTAAAGCATTAGTAAATTACAAGATGAAACAGATGCTTAAATTCTGATGTGTTACAGAGGTACTGAGGAATAAACATCTCTACCCAAATATTCCTGTAGCAAAAAAAAAGGGGGGGGAGTTATTCTAAAACTAGAGAGCTGTTTCATTTTGATTAGACTGTGTGATGGAAAATTGTAATAGTCCAGAAGTAATGCACATTTAATAGTTAATTATTCTCACTGTTAAAATAAATGTGGGTTTTTTTCCTATTTTGAACTTTTCAGACTTCAGCTGTCAACTGCTAAATCTTATTATACTTCTCTGTTAGATTAAAGAGCCCGCAACTATCAGATATCTTCTTCTTGAGTAAATACTTACAGGCAGTGATTAAATCGCCTCTTAACCTTCTTTCCAATAAGCTAAATGGAGCTCCTTTAATCTCCCAGTATAAGGCATGCTTCCCAGAATACAGGTCATTCTCGTGCTTCCCTGAGAACTGCTTTCCTAGCCTGTGGCATCCAGAAATTTCAGAAGCAGCCCTTCTGACACTGTATTCAGTGGTAGTACCAACCACCTATCCTTGCTCAGTAATGCTCTAGTGAAAGCATCCAAGTATCAAGACAGCCCTGTGGCTAAAGCATCACACTGGTGTGAACACTTCCAGATTGCTTCTTCTCAAATAACCACTTAAAACAATGTTTCTAGTTGTCTTTGAAGTCACTGCTCTCACAATATAATGCTCCATTTTGTAAGAATTAGCTACTTGGTGTTTCTTGTTTGATTGTTTGCCCAGCTACTGATTAATGATTAATTTAACTGCATAAGTGAATCCACCTCCCTCACTGAGCTGCCAGCTCTTTACAGAAAGTCTCAACACGCCATGCAAAGAAGCAGGAGGCTCCTGAAGGCCCAGTGCCTGTGCCGCGCGTTCTTTGATGTGGCTATCCCCTATGGCTCCGGGCAGCAGCCACCAGGGCACTGGCTCTTATGAAAAACACTGACTGGAACCAAAGCACCAGTTTAGAACAGAAAAGGAGCTTTTCTGGGGTCAGAGACTCAGCAGTTCTTCAACATACTGAACTGCTCCTATTTCTGACATAGCAGATGAGCATGAGTAGGGAGGAAGGACTCTTTCTGTGATCTGGAATACAGGCTAAAGTTGATTAGAGTGCAACTCTGATTGTAGAAGTAAATCACTGACTGCATGTCCAAGGCTCACTCCATCCTCACCATTCTCAAGCC